CGGGTCTCCGAGCTGGGCCGTCTGCGCGCAGGCGCTTCGTTACCCGGCTGGGGAGCATCTCCAGCGCTCGACGGGAGGGGTTGCTCTCTGCTTATGTACAGTGGCCTGCCCCGCCAGTGGGGGTGGGGGGGTTGTTTTATTTTTTCCCTCTGGTAGTTCCTTGATTAGGGTGTTGTTTACTGCTTGATTGTGTGTCTGGTGATGATCTTGGTGTTAATCCCTGCTTATCTGGGTGATGATTGCTGGTGAGGAGATGTTCGGGTCTTTTGTCTCTTTTGAATAGTGGGTAGATGTTGTTTACCTCCATGTGCCTGTTGATGGCTGCCTTGTCTGAATGCCAAGCTTCCAGGAATTCCCTCGCATTTCTGGATTTAGCTTGGTCTAAGACGCTGACAGTTTCCCAGTTAAAACTATGGTTGGGTCTGTCCACCTGTTGTGAGATGGAGTTTTCATCGTGTTTTCTGACTGCTAGTTGGCGTTCATGGATGCGCTCTGCTAGCCTTCTGCCTGCCTGTCCTACACAGTGGTTGTGACAGTATGCCACTGTACACAAACAGAGAGGAAACCCCCCTCCCTTCTAGCACTGAAGATGTTACCTAGCCGGGTAATGAAACGTCTGCAAGAAAACAGCCAAGCTCAGAGAACCCCAAGGTTCAACCCTTGGCTACACATATTCATTTCCATTGGGTTTCTCTGCCTTGGAGTTCGTCATGGGACTCCTGGCCACGGGCTGGTCTCTCCCTGCAGTTTTCGTGGCTGGGTTTTTTTTTCCAGAAGGGGTTTGCTGTCAGCCTTGAGAGAAGAACTGGCCCAAGGTCCCCCAGCTGGCTTTGTGCCTAAGGCAGGATTAGAATTTGGGTCTCCCGGGTTTTGGCCTGGTGCCTAAACCACTGTGACAAGCTGGCTCTCGATTTTTGGGGTGCCTTCAAGCCAGACTCCTGGCGACTGCCTGGACGAGTCCCTGCAGTTTACTTGGCAAGGTTTTTGGAAGAAGCTTGCCCTTGTCTGCTGCTTCCAAGGCTGAGAGAGAGGGACTGGCCCAAGGTCACCTGGTGGCTTTGTGCCTAAGGCAGGACTAGAATGCACCTCTCCCAGTTTCTAGCCTGATGCTTTAACCCAGTGTTTCTCAACCTTGGCAGTTGAAAGATGTGTGGCCTTCAACTCCCAGAATTCCCCAGCCAGCCATGCTGGCTGAGGAATTCTGGGAGTTGAAGTCCACACATCGGAAAGTTTCCAAGGTTGAGTAACACTGCTTAACCACTACCCTAAACTGCCTCGCTGCAGATTCTTAGTATGGGCCAAATGCAGGCAAAAGAGCCACCTTGTTCCTCTAGGTTCCTCCCTTCAGAAATGGGTCCCTCTTTTCTTGCGAGGTGGGCTTGGACAGTTTATTGGAGAAGATTTGTGAGAAGACCATGGACAGCCAAGAAAACATTGAACAAATCCACCCAGAGATCTCATGCAAGGCACCAATGACCTACTTCAGACACATGATGCGAAGATCTAGCTCTCTGGAGAAGGCTCTAATGTGGGGAAGGGTGGAAGGAAAGAGGATGACCAGCACCAAAGCGGGGGGGGGGACTCAATTACAGTGGCGATGGGAGCATTGTTGGGAGACCAGGCTGGACATACATCATCGTGGAGAAAATCTATCTATGTGGTCGCTAGGAGTCGAAAGCAACTTTGGCACATAATCAACTCAATCAATTGAGCAGTTTAAGGAGCACCAGAAGAGCGGCTGGGCTTCTGTGTGGGGGGCCCCAAAGCCGTAGTAAAATAATGCCGACCAGCTACAATGGCATTGTTGTAAGATAATGTGTTTTCACTGAAGACGTTGGTACAGTAATGTATTGTTAGAAGGAAAGGCTGTCAGCATTTTCTCCGACATGGTTTTGTTGTAAGGTTAGACCAAGGTTTTTTTCCAAAAATCGCCCCCCTAATTTTGGGGGTTAGACATACTAACACCAGTTGGTGGGG